GCTTTGGTACAAGTGTGAAGAGAAGCAGCAACTACCAGTAGAAATGTGCTTATGAGAACTATGACCTGAAACTTCAAAATGGAAACGTGTGGAGTGCCCCCACCCAAAGAGGCGGGGATTTGATTTTAGACAGGCAGTGTTAAGGTGAGGGGAATGGCTTTAAGCCCCAGGAGGAGTGGACTACACCCCTCTGCCATGGGGGATGTGCCCTATAAGCACAGGAAGAATTACTCCACTCTCAAATCCCTTATAAAGCCCAGAATGTTCTACCCTTCTTGCATTGCTATTCATTATTTTCTGCTGCATTTATTTTAATAGCCCCTCCTATTGTACCCCTATTGTTTTGTACCCCTGAGACTTCTCCCTTGCTGTGTCCCTATTGGACCCAGACCCCAAACTCCACCCTTGCTCTACCCCATAAAACCCACCACCCTGCCTTTGTTCTTGGTTCTTTGGCTCTGGTTTATGCTTGGTTAAATCCTGCGTTGGTGACGCCCCAATAAATGGATTCCCAAGTTTAACCAAACAGAGACATGTCTTGTTTATTTCCCACATCAATCACCAGTGGCTGCACCCTCCCTGGACATGACTTTGTTGTGGCACAATGCAACAGGACTGTGTTTTTAATATTTGGGAACGTGTGGAGATGCTGGCTGGGCTCACATGGTACCCAGTGAAGAATAAAAGCACACTAAAATAACAGGGCTTGTCCCAAGGCAGCCCAGTGATCACATTCAGACTCTACTGGATTACTCACATTAAAATCACTGCAGAAGATAAAAACCAATCAGTATCTGACAGTGGAACTTGGCAGAGTTGATTGAAACATACATGTTTTGCCTAAGGTGACACCTGTTTGTTTTCACCACTAACCTTTGTGATCCTGCCAATGCAGATGCTGCTCTGCTCTAAGCAGCAGTGTCATGAGGAAAGCCATCCCAAACTGTGCCTTCAACCAGCACTGGAAAGATAGGTCAGGGAAACAGCATTGTAATCCGATTTAACTGCCATTCAAAATGTCACAGTCTCTCCATTAATTTGAATGAGGACTGGACTACGCCCAAATTACTGACCAAATTGCTGACAACAAAACAGGTTTATTTTAATATTTTTACCTTCTCATTTAAAATCTTCCTGTTGAAGAACAGAAAATAACATTCCACATGTACCTCCACGTGGCTACAGCGCAACTTATGGTCTGTAGACCAGTTCAAAATTGACAGAATATTTGCTCTGCAGCTGTAAATTGGAACTCAACCTGACAGAATGCTACCCTCTCCTTGGAACAGATGGTGCCATAAAGAAGAGGAATAGCTCGGGACTTCCACAGTGTTTAAGTAGAGGACCTCTAGGATTTTCTTCTTATAGTGGAGAGTCTGCAGTTCCAAAGCATCTCACTCAGTTGGAAACCTCAAAGACCAAAGTAAGAAGAGAAAGACTATCTGGAATTAGATTCTCAAACATCACAGCTCACTGATTTGATGAAAGCAAAAATGACTTCATATTCTGGAAAAAAAAAATATGAACAAATATCTACCAAAGAAGCTTGTTTTGGCAAATAATGAATACCTAAAAAATATTGTTTGTATTGTGCAAAGAACTTGTAAGTAATGTTTGTTAGCTCTCTACTTAATTAGTGGTTCTAAGCAATGGGATTTTGCTGCCATTTGTGAATGTTCAAATTTTGAAACTTTGTTCCCCAGATGGAAAAGCTCCCAGGGGGTCATATAATAAACTCATTCAAATGAACAAAACAAATGACAAGTATCTTTACAAATGTGGAAAATGAGGGAGCTGTATGCATTATTTCATGTAACTCTTGTTAAATGCCTTGGTTTACTTATGTGGTATATTTTGCTTGACTGCATATGAGTAACTCAAAAGAGGCTGTCAAGATGAGGAGCATGGAAGTGTCAAATATATCAAACCCCCGTAGACATGATGAGGACCCTCAAAATGGAGGAGTCTTTCTGTCTAGCCATCCTGGTAGTATTTATGCCTATCTGTAAATCTAAAGGGAATCTGAAATCCCAAAGGAATAATAAGACTGGCCAAAAGGAGAAATGCCAGACAGCAGTTGGTGTGCTGCCAGGAATGCAGATACTGACATGCATTTTTCCCAGTTACCTACATGCACCTGAGACAGATGTGCAATCTGTCCACCTTAGAGGAAAGGCACTCCCAGAGGATGATTCACATATAAGTAGTCTCCTAAAATGTAAGGAATTCTGAAAGGGCTCCACCCAGGCCTTCCACTCTTTCACAGAACTGCAGAGAAGCAGCATATTCAGCCCAAAAGATTAGGGAAGTGCAGCTGTACCTGCCACTGCATTTGCACAAGCTACACCTGGACTCACCTGCTTGAGTAAATGGGCACAGCTGCTGGAGCACAGAAGCCTTTGCTGCTCTGGTTTCATCACCACAGGGCTCTACACATTTCACTGTCACAACTAGACTTGGCAGAGATGGAGATCAGGGAAGATTGCATCCCTTCCAGAACAAGATTGAGCCATAGATAACATCTGAGCCCAGATACAGCACTGCTTTCATTCCCTGTGAAATACTCCAAATTCTTGGTAGAGGAGTGATGAATATGGTTCTGCTTTCCCAGTAATTTGCTGCTACATGGGCAAACAAAGTAAAGGTTTTAGCAAATGCCAAACCCAGCTGGACTCAACTTGTTGGTATGCTTGGGAGATGGGAATTTGCATCTCCAAAAGTCAGTCCTAGAATGGCAGGATTGTGCCAGTAACTCAGGGCAAGGTATGGGGACAAAAGGAGGTTAGTGGCCAGCCTGATCTGTGACCAGCTCTGATGAAAAAAAGCTGAGTACACAGACTGTGACAGGATTTAATTCTGCATGATTTCCAGCTCCTATTGGAAGATAATATACACCTCTTAATTTCCAAAATAATTTTTTCACAACACTACAAGGAAGAAGAGGGAGATAGTTTTTACTGTAACACCTGTATGGTATCACATGGCCTTGCTTCCTGTAATTTTTATATTTCCATCTGAAGTTTCCAGTTTTCCTGGACCAGAGATGACTATGCATTCATCCTACATTTCTTACGAAGGACAGCCTTCACAGTGACACAGTGCTGCAGACTTACAGTGGCCTCCCAGGCCACCTGCATCCAGCTGCACCTAGGGAATGACAGCTTTGCAGCACTCTGGTCCATGGCTATAGTAAATCTATTTTTAAGACACCTGACTATTTAATTAGAAGCCAAACTTTCCACTTGTCTATGAAAAACTGGTATCTCTGAAGACATTGAACACAAAGGAGGGATGTTTGATGGATGGAGGGAATTCCCTATATAGTTTCCATAGGAAACTATGGAAATTTAAAACTTCTCTGTGAGCTTGGAGGTGGAGAGGAACATATGCACCATGAAGAAGCATAAAGGAAGACTGGCATGTAAATGGGACAGGCTGTTGCTGAAGAAGCTGGCCTGTTGCAAGCCTGTGAAAAAGCCAGAAAAAACTCAGGGCATAAGACATACCCCTGACAACATGGTCTTACACACAGCTACCTACTTCATTTTTAGTTCTTCAGAAATGAGATTGTTTGGTAGTTATTGCCCATTCTATCTGTATGAAATATTCACTAAATAGAAAAGTTAGTGAACTATGGCTCAGGACAGCCAAGAAAGAACTGGTAGTTCATTAGTATTAAGCATGATTGCATGAACAGCTCTGGAATGGAAGCTGTATCAGGAAGGGAATGAAACAAAGTGGAATATAAACAAAAATATTGCAATGACCTAAACAGCAAGACAGAAAGGATGTGTTCCTTTAAAACGCTGAGGAAATCAGTTTCCTCCACTTTTTTCAATTCTTCAAAATTGAATCTAGCACTGAATTTTTTCTATTTAACAAAAGCATAGGGCATTGGTACCTCTTTAAGTGCAGAATTTGCAATGCCATCACCATAGCTGAAACACAACCTAAATGATAATTTAGTCCCTGTTACAGGTCTTTCATCTGCTCTTGAACCTCATCTGTTTTCAGGAGCAATCTGCTCATCTTTCACACCCCAAAATGTCAGAAATCAAAATGTTATTATTTTGTAAGAACAACTGAAAAGCAAAGTCTTGAACTTGATAAGAAAACTATAACTCTAATTTATGTTCACAATTCTGCCTTCCACAAAATGTAATTTAAAGACAGAATTTAAGACCTTTGTATTGGAAAAACTTCTTCCTCCAAGTAAATTTAGCTCACAGACCTTCTACTAAATTCTGCCACTAAAAATAAATTAGAAAAAAATAAAGGAACAATAGGAAGAATATATATCATCAACTTCAGAACTTTTCTACTGTTCATATATGAGAAATAGAGCTCTAAGGGCCACAGTGGGATAAATGTATTTATAGTTAATAATCATTAATGTGAAGGGCAAAGCATAGAATTGCAGCAAAACACTTGTTGAAAATTATATCAAAATATTTTGAGAGAGTTGAAATGGGGAATAAATTGCATAGTTATAGAAACAGTCATGGCTGCTCAGAAAAAAGAAGACAGTTAGAAACATTTTAAAAACCAGTGAGTGCAACTCTCACTCTTACCCAGAGACTCTCTCCTTGTTCTGACACCTGGGTTAGCTGGGCCAAAACTTTGTATTGGGATAGACAAGGCAAATAAGTCAGTGAAACAGAACATGGGGTTAAATCTTGAACAGGCATGTTAACACTTCCACCAGTTCTTTTAATTACAGAATTGCAGATTTTCACTTCTGTGATTTGTGATTCAACTTTAAAGCATAAATTTACATTCCACCATATGTATTTTGTTCTTCCACAATGAATCTACATGACATTTTATAGCTTTTCACTGTGCTATCAGTACACTCCCAGAAGAAATTTTTTTTTCAAGGACTGAAAAAAACCACAACTCTGCAAAATCAGCGTGCCAATGTACCCAGGCCTGGGCACTAGACAGGAACAGAGAATATGTACAAAATGACACAACCCCCTCTTTGAAATTGTATTTTGTACCTGAGGTAGCACTGCTGGTCCTTGTCCTGCCAACCTCTGCAAGGAGCTGACCTGAGGAACCTTAATGGGTGCTGCAGTGATAGTTCCCAAAGTCTGTTGGAAGAAAAACGTTTGAACACAGCTTAAAACAATTGCAAAGCTTTCCCAGACAGAATCTCTCCAAGCCAGCAGTTCCCTTCCAGCTCTTTTTCTCTTCCCAGCCTCCCTAGCTGAAGGCTCTCTAGGCACCAGGCTGTTTTCAAAAGAGATTTGAAATGCACCACAGCGATGTGCATCGGTACGATGATGTATTCCATGGTAGCCAAGGTCACAGAGAGATATTTGCCATGCCTCAGGAAATAGCAAATACTGAATTATTAAAATGGAAAGCTGCCTATAAATCTACTACAGTACACTGCCATAAAACATTCAGCTAAGATGATGCCCATTTGGGCCAACACAGCATCTATTACTATCTATGTTTATTTTTGTTACTCACCCTTTTCTTAGTTGTATACCAAATTTATTCAAAGCTTATTTATGACAGGATGGAATAAATGGAGAACCTATAAATTTATGATTGGGCCAAATATGTAAAGAAGACAGCTGAATTTCAATTCATAAAATCATGGAATGGCTTGGTTTGGAAGGGACTTTAAAAATCACCCAATTTCACCCCCCAACATGGACAGGGACATTTTCCACCAGACCAGGTTGTTCCAAGTCCCATCCAATATGGCCTTGGACATTTCCAGGAATGGGGAAGCCACAGCTTCTAACCAAAAGTTTGTACTTTGGTTTACTGGCCAATATTCTTAAGGCAAGGTTTTGTAACTTTCATCTAGCACTTTGTTATTCTGTTGGGACGACACAGCAATATAAGCAAGTGGATGATTGTCATTATAACAGCAAGAGACACTTAGTCATTGAACACAAAATCTTATCAGGCTGTTAGAAATAGCTAATATGGAGAAAAATATAGATTCAACTGAATTTCTCTAAATTTAGCTCTGCTCTAAACCAAGGTTTTGGATCACAGCCAGCAAGATAAAATATGCTATTATTACCCCAATCTGTTAATGAAATTTGTCAGTAGAAAAGAAACTATAACATAATCAGCTCAAGGAAAGTGAAACTGTGTCACATCCATGCTGATATGTTCTCGTTATACCTCGCCCACAGAGTGGCAAAACAGTCTATTTCATTCTGTCTCCAGTGTTTGATAAGAAATGACAAGTGTATTCAGGCAGAATATTCTGAATAAACTTCTCCTACAGCGTTTATATTTTTACCTCTGCTACTCCTGTCAGAGACATTTGGGGGTGTGATGTTGCATATTCAACAAAGATTAACATTTGAAGAAGATTTGCCTGAGTAAAACAACAAGGAGAGCTGAACAGTTATAACCATGCAACACAATTTTTCTTGAGTACTCATGGATTACCAGTACCCTGGATTACCCATGAAAAAAATGTACTCCATTCAAATCCTGTCTCAAGCTAAGAGAAGAGGGAAAAGGGGCAGAGAGGACAGCATTTCCATCTATGGATGATAAAACAAGTTACACTTCCTTTAAAATAAAGGTTCTGGCAGCAGGGTGATGAACAGAAGGGGTATTTCTGCCAGTTTCCTTATAGGGTGATACATGGACTAAAAACAATGGGAAGGATCTGACTGAACAACTTCATTGCCCTGTATACCCTATCACTGCCTCACACATCAGCAAGAATAACATGATGAGCTACTGCAGTCTGGGAGAAGGAGAAACTGAGATGCTACCTTCTGCTATGGGCATTTATTAGACTTATCACAACTTCCTGCTTAATATTATCATGAACTGTAATCAATTCAGTCAAGATTCAGATTTTTTAGGGTAAATATTGAAATTCATTGAAGTGAACTTTCCAACTCATGCTACAGAAAACTTATCACAAGTGGGTTCTATATTTTCCTACTGTCCCAAATGGGACTTCTTTCACCACACAGTGAAGTCCAAGGTTTACTAGGAAATATCGAGAGCACCACCACTTCTCCTGGGCTGTACAGATACCCTCTACAGAAAGTAAAAAACAAAAAGTTCTTCCTTCTGGAAAGTTGTGCCTTAAAGGCTGCTGCCTCTGACCTTGGAAGCACACATTCTAATATTCCTCTTCCTACAGATACACAAGGATTTGCAAAGATTTTCAAGCTGGACAACAAAATACATGGTTGGCATGGTAGTGTTCGGTCAAAGGTTGGACTTGATGATCTTGGATGTCTTTTCCAATCTTAATGACTTTGTGATATCATTAAAATACCAAGTGCTGACACTGAATGAAATTTGGAATTGATTATAAATATAAGAATCAAATTACTGAGATGTTAAGTAAGATAGAGTTATCAGTTGTTAAGATAAAGAAAAAAATCCGTGTCTGAGCAACAAAGCTCTTCTCTTGTATTACTTCAAATATCTCCAGGGAATAAAAAAACAACCAAGCAACTAGAACAGAATGACTCTGTCCTGTGAGGAAGGAGCTCATGTCAGCCCCTGGGTACACTGCTGGGCCAGCTCTGGTTCAGGTTTCAAAATAGAGAATGACTGAGACAAAAGAAATGGGAATGAGAGAACAAACCAGAAGCACCACAAAATTACTCTGCACTGTTCCCTCAGCTTCACTTGAAGGCAAAGTCAGGATGAAACATCTGTGGGTAGTAGGGAAATTAACTGCCATCAGTTATGTCACCTGCACTTTCAAAAATTTAATCAATTTACTTTCCTGAAGTAGCAATTCTGCAGCAAACACAAAAGTACAAAACCAAATAATGGCACTCTTAAGTTATAAAACTTTCAGTGACAAAAATGCTGCCTTCTGTTTACAAATGGTTTTATAGTAAGGATCTGTTAATTAATATTCAAGGAAACAATCTCAGTATAGAAATCATATGGCCAAGGAAAAATATCAAGAAAAAGAACTTCAATATGATGTTAATATTAGCACTACAGTATGTTCAGACAGAGAGACATCTAAGATTCTACTTTATTTTTCACTATTTACATTGTTTTGTTACAAATTCTCACCTTGGGCAATAAATAGCTCAAGCTATTCAAGAATTCAATGACCTCTGTACTTTTCCTGTAACACATTTCATCTGTTATGTCTGGGTACTTTGCCTAGGTCAGTATTATTGTCTCCACTTAGTGAAAAAAATCTAGATTTAGAGGTAAAATGATAATAGTCAGGGCTAGACTGTTGTGCAGGTGGAAATGCAAGCTAGATTTCCAGCGTCTTATCCATGTGACTGATTAAACTCGTCTCATCCATGCATGGAGAGCTCCAGCCAAATGGCCAAATTTTTAGGCAGACCAGGATGTCTCCATGACAATGAGTGAAAGAAGTGAACTATGAAACAGGGAATTTCAGTGTGGTCTCTGCAATGAAAGAAGTGCAGGTGCCAGAATGGGTGGTTGGGCAGTTTGGCTCTGGGTACGATTTACACTGCTTTGTTCTTGTTTAAGATCTACATGAACAAGAAGATAAAACCACTTATGGGGGAAATAAGAACATAAGTGTCCTTATCTGATACCCTTGGCCATGCAATAAGAACTGGACAGATTTCCCATGGCTCAGGCTATGACACATCAAATCCTGCTCACACTCCCCTCCATACATCAGCTCAAGTTGGGCCCTCTGCTCAAGCGTGTGGGCTCCAGGAGGTGACTAATCAAGATACCTCCCCAACAAATAGAAAAATATTTTTGTTCTTCCTGTTAGCAAAGCCATCTGTTTTCATGCCCTGACACATGCCATGGTGAACCTGGTGGATCAAAGACTTGCCACTCAATAATTCCACACTATCATTTTTATCCATGGGGCCGTTTTTCTTTTCTCCTTCTTTTCCAGTTTATCTAAAGTGCAAGCTGGTGCACATTCTCATAAACCTCTAATTAGCCAGCTGAAAAGACATTTTTCTGGCAATGGTTGACCTTTAAGCATTTTGTATGAATTTATTGATACAAGCAGAAACAGTAATTTAAAAGATTATTTTATGAGTGCTGAATAGCAGCACTTTTGTAAAGATAAATGAGTTTCTTTTTTCTACATTTACAGCTCTAAGCATTTTTATGAAAAGGTCCATAAAAGTCAAAGATATTTCTGAATCTCTCTTCTGTCTAAAGCTACTTGGGCTTTTCTGGTGACCCCCTTCACATCTACAATGTGAAGGGATGGGGGAAAGTGAATAGCCAAGTTCCAGTTATCTTCAGGTTTAACTGTATGCATTTAAACCAGACTAACTACTTTATACATTTGTGTTTCTTTCAAATAAGAAGAAATTCATCAGGTGTATTTCCTACTGTCTAATTTACATCCAGAAGCATTTTGGGAGCTCATGATCTTTTGCTAACTCTTACCTCAAGCTCCAGCCCTGGACTAGAACAGAAAGCTCAACCACTCCATCCCTCAGAGCAGGAATTACTGGATAATGAACACATGTGGCTGGGACACATGCCACAGGCAGACAGGGATCTGGCGTGTCAGGTACATGGTTTTGGTTGAGCAATCCACAGATGTTCTCAGACAGGAATGAAGCAGTCCCACTGTGGAGGGGACCTGCAATCTCCATTGGGTAAATGTCATCCAGCAGCATGTGTTCCAAAGGGTCACACTTCAAATTGCAAAAACAGGTGAAGGAATCCAAATGAAATCATCCTTTTCACTGGTCAATTTATTCACTAAGAAAATAGTAATAAATTAAAGTAGGAAAACCAACTCAAGCCCCCAAACAAGAGGACACAGCTGTATTAAAAAAAAAAGAAAAAAAAAAAAAAGTTCCTCCCATTCAGTCAAAAGAAAATGAAAAATTTAAGAGATATTGCTAAATGCAGTTAAAAAAGAAGATCACTTCTCCTCATAATTTCTATTAAAGCCTTGCATTGTAACTACAGGAGTAACCAACAGGAGCTGGATTCAATGATCCTTGTGGGTCCCTTCCAACTCACCATATTGTGTAAACCTCCTATGATTCTCCAGCAATAAATCAACACTATCCCAGGATAAAGGCTTTCAAAGACAACTGAGGGGTAGCAGTGTGGGGAGAATAGCAAATGGAAGACATAAAAAGTGAAACAAAGAAGT